ATATATATANATATTATTTATTATATATATATATATATATATATATATACACATATATATATAAAGAATAACTATAATAAAATTAAATTAATATAATTAATATAATTATATTAAATAATATTAATATAATTAAATATATATATATAAAATAATTTTTCTTCTAAATATATTATTTTCAATTAGAATTGCTAATCAATAATTAAATAATCAAGTATTAAAAGTTTAAATACTGTTAGATTAAAAAGTATAGAATGTAAATAAAATATGTTTATATTTTGTCAATAAGTAATATTCATATTATTAAATATTATAATAATAAACATTGTAATTATGACAATAACAATAAAATAATAAAAATAAATATAATTATATTTCAATAATAAAAATAATATAATTACATAACATATAATAATAATATAATATAATAATAAATAATTAATAAAAAATTATTTATTTCTCAAATATTCATAATAATTTATTAATTATTCAAAAAAATTTGTTAAAGAAATTATAAAATAGATAAAAATAAAAATTATTTAAAAATATTTAATATTTATAAATCATATTATTTAAAAATATTTAATATTTATAAAAATTAGAAGAAATAGTCGATAGAGAAGAGCGCGGGAAAAAGCTTATCGCATGTCAATGTACGATTAAAAAATATATATGTAATCAAAAATGAATATAAATAATTATTTTTTATCACTTTTTAGTACATGTTACATAAAAACAATAATCAACTATAATCTAATGTATATCTATATCAATTTCATTTATCATAAATCAGATTTATAAAATTCATTTTCACATAACAAAATTATTCTTCACACTGTACGAAATTTGGCACTGTCAATTTACGTGAAACTACACGTGTTTGAAATATATGCGCAAAGGCATTGATCAACTGACATTATATTAATATATAACTGCACTAAAATCATCACTATATAATTAAAATTATAAATGTTAATATAACACTTATTTTAATTATAAAAAATTACAATTTATTTAATTTGATATATAATTATAAATATAGGTATTAATTTCTTCAATAAACACAAAAAAAATTTTTTATTCAACACATTTTTATCATAATTTATTTTAAATTGCGCATCAATTGCAATCAATTGCAAAAAATGAAAATTTTAACATATCACAATTATTATTAGTAATTTGTATTCATTAGTTCAACTTTACATATAAATAATTTTCTACTATTATATTAGAAATCACATTTTTCAGAAATTTGCAAATTTAAATTTGATGTAGTTGCGCACTCTCAGTTTTACACATTAGAAGTTTCAAAACATTATACACGTGACAAATGTTAATTGATTATTTATCAATTAATCGATTTTTATTTAATCACTATTATATCAATATTTAAATAAAACGATCACGCTTGGAAAAAGACTGAATTTATTTTATTACATTTCAATTTCTAAGAATGAATTTGACAGAAAGAATTTCGTGCTCTTTTCAATCGACATCATTTACTAAAAAACAAAGAATGTGCGTGCACGTGTATATCATGAACAAAATATGACACTAAACTTATAAAGCACATCTTTCGTTCGTTATAAAAAGATGTATTAGGAACGTACTGAGTGACACTTGGTCGAGCGCCGTCTGCGACGGACTCCTTTTCTCGAGCCATATGGCGTCTGTACTGCTATCAGCGTTCGCTGTATGCATGTCCGTAATATCGTTCCTCATTTTCAATAATCAACAGTATTTTTTGCTTTAATCAAAATCACATATCGACGGATGCAATGATACACCAACGAAGAGGTTATACACGGTGCGATTATCGATGTGCACTGTCGATGAGACGACACACGACCATGTTACACGACGAGGTGAACAGGCTTAGATGGAAAAGTTATCCTGTTTCAATTCTCTTGGTTTGAAGTTTTCACGCTTTCCCTTGGCGTTTCACTTTGGCTGCTGATTACAATTATAGCAGGTGGCGCGAAAGAGTTTATCACATTCAACTCAATTTTCAACATATACATTAGGAGTAGATAAACGTACGTAGATGATATCGTTGACACTGATTATATACATGTTCTTTGAACGGGCGTACCTCTGGACCCCGGCGAAGCTTTGCTGTCGATTAAGATGCTCTCGATTGAGGATAGCGCCATTTTACATGGACTTAGCCTCTGTAAATCTCCGATTTCAGGCCGTCCACTAGGCCATGCCGTAGCATCGAGTTGTCTGTCTGCAGCTGCACGGGACACTAGGCATTCCGCCGATCTAGCCGACTGCGAATCTTACGGACTAGAGCGGCACGTTTAGTTTTCCGTACTGACTGTACTCCTAGGTACGTGCCAGTATCGTCCTCCACGACATATGACCACAGTTGACTTTAACTTTCCATTTTTAGGAATTCATCTGACGCTTATATTATATTTACTATTTCTGGTCAATCATTATTTTAAAAATTTCATTTTTACTTAATATTTTTAAACAATAATTTATTTCTCAATTTTTTTTATTGTATTCTACTGATATTTTATTATATGGAATATAAAAGTCCAAAATATTTCGAATTTTATCAAATGATCAATTGTTTAGAACAATTTTCATTAAAGATAAAATGATAATAATATTTAAAAGTAAATTTGCAATCTACAAAAATAATATATTACAATATATTTTGTTAATTTATTACGTTTTATCAATAAGAAATTTGAATTAGAATTCTCTATTATGTATAAAGATTTCTATCGTTTTGGGTAAAAAGGATTACTAGTCTTTCCAATAGCTGTCGCCATCTATCTGTTGCAGCCAATATTATTACTTACACAGAATTGCATTTCTAAACATAAAATATATTACGCATGCGCCGCTAATTTAAATAAATATAATAGTAAATATTAAATTATATATAAATATGTATTATTATAACAAATTTTTATATTTTCTTTATTTACAATAATTAACATAATAAGATTCATTATTTAGAAAAATATTTGTTAACTTTCTACAAATATATACTTTATGTGATAGAAAGAAACTTCTGTTTATACTAATTGCTGAATAATCGCATGTTTTGATGTTCGATACACAGAGAGCTATATAAGAGCGTTGCTTGGCAGCAGTCTCTAGTCGAAGCCGATCAGTGACAAGTGAAGGATGTATTTAACTTTGTGTTATAAAAATAATCAAATACGCAAGAAATTATTTAAGTACGTTTTTATTTGTGATTATATATTTATACATATAACAAAATTTTGTGTGTGATATAATTTTAGATTTAAAATAATAAAAAAAATATATATATATATATTAGCATAAATAAAATTCTTTACACCTTTTTAGTTGTTGAATGTTACAGTGAATAAGTATTTAAATATCGAATAAATTGGAAAAAAAATTTTTATATGTTATTATGCATGCTTGTTATATTGTCATAAACGTCACTCATGTTTTAAACAAAGAAATTTTTATTATTCCATGAATATTATTATATATATTTTAATTGTATTTTATAAAATATTGGTTTTAATAAAATGTCAGCAATAATATATACAATATATATTATTGTTTATATAGATTCATAACAATAAACACACAAATAACATATATATAAAATTATAGACAATAAATTAAAAGTTTAAAAATGTAGACATATTATCCGTAACAAAAAAAGAAAAAATATTTTTATATTATATTTATATATTCTATATCTTAAAGAAATTTTTATGGCTTTTAAAACTTTTAAAATCACAAAAAATAATAAAATATTAATATCATTTTTCTTAATAAAGGTAGTTACATTATATATTTATAAATTCCATTTAGTTGGACGAACTTTCTTGTATCTACCTAATAATATAGAAAAGTATAAATATAATTTCATTTATTACATCAATTTCATAAATTTTGATAAATTCATTTTTATATAAGTAATGATAAGAAATAATTGAAAATGTTACTTAAAACTTCATTTACAAAAATATAACTTTTACATAGTTTTACATTTTTATGTTTTACATTAAACATTTTGCAAATATGCAATTTTATTATTTCTCTTCAATATAATGTTATCATTTCATTTCTCTTACTTGATAGTAAACTATTAGATTTTACACTAGACACGTCACTAAATCATATAAATAGGTGAACCATATCCTCGATCAGATTTCGCATCGTGTGTTAGGGATCGGCTGCAGCAGCTAGGTACATACCGCTCAAAGAGTGGCCAGGGCCAACGCGTAAGATCGCGCAGACGATGTGACAACGTTGCACGGTCGATATGCTCTTTCAGGCAAAGTGCCAAGATTGGTAAACGCACGCGGGGGTATATAGTCGCGGTTTCAGGTGCCCTTCCCTCCTCTAACGCCCGCGTTTCATCCCCACTGCTACTTCTGGAACTTACCCGTGGGATTCTGCGTAATAGTGGGGGGTCAAATGATAAAGGTGGGGGAACTGAAGCTGCGCAGAACGTTGTCAGACGTACGTCGTTGTTTGTGCCTCTGCGCAGCTCTTACATACATATACCCGACAGCCTCCTATGTACTACATATGTATTATACTTATTATTTTAATCATGATTTACGGCTGCAACGTTGCCGGTTCTCGTTGCAGGCACGCCCACTTTGTCTCTCTTTTTTCACTTTTCAGTCATATATATATTAATACATAGATATATGTGGGGAAAAAGCAACATCGCTTGATCGATACTTCAAGAAACATATAACAAAAAAATGTACAAAACGCATCTATCATTATTGTATAAATATAATAAGTATATATTTTGTAAATAAACATATTCTTGAAATATTTTGAATTTTATATATATAAATAATTTAAAAAAAATATTTAAGAAAACATTAATTACATAAATATTAAAATAATACTGATTTCTTTTTTTATTTAAAATATTTTTTTTTTATCAAAATTTATCATCAATATGATTTTGACAATGCAACGTTGCCATTGCAAAATGGCTGACGCGGCCTTGATTAGTCAATTTCTTCCTTGGTATACGCTGGGCCAGTCGTTTTGGCAACACTGGAAGATCGTAGCTATTTATAGTAGCTCTCTATTGGTGCTGTTGCTATGCCAAATGATACAAGTTCGCGGGGAGGGGAGAATGGAAAATGGAGGGGGAAGAGATTAGTAAAGAACAATATGGCGTTAAACCGGATGTGTTCTCTACAAATCTATCCATTCTCTTTGTTATAATTGCACGATTCTTTCTTTGTCTATCTAATATTTACCATCTTCCAATTATAATTTCCTTTTTGTTTTTAATAATAATGTATTCTTTTTACATTCAATTTCTGCATTCAATTATGAAATCATAAGATCAAACATTACGTAACATAATGAAATATCATGTACACAAACACAATTAAATGAAATATGCTTGCTTTAATCATGATAAGGCATATGATGAGATCATATACTTTATATATGTTTCATGACAAAAAAATAAAATGAATTTAAAAAATGAATATTTTATAGTAATATTAAAAAAAAACAATCAAAATATGCTCTATCATTTTTGTAAATATAATTTTTTGCGCAACTCGGTAGAATTGCATATGGCGCCGTGCACTTGTAGCAGCTGACAAGCATCCTAGTGTGTGTTTCCATAGTACACAAGCACGCATGCGACTTGCACGAAGTCGTCACCTCGGGAATGCTCGGCAAACTTCGTGAAACGGCCTCTTTGTTACATCATTCTTTAGCTCTTATATAGTACATAGGGGCGGGTACATTATATACTACGTTTGCACATATTTCCCTCCCAGCTCTCGCTCGCGTATATACAGTATATAGTTGCCTTTGCATATATGTGCCGGCGGAGCAAACGGGCGGGCGGTCGGAGGAGTGAGCTGGGCTCCGCGTTACACGAGGCGTAGAAATGTGACTCAACTTGAACGGACGCTAGAGTATGTAATGTATACATATTTTATCACATATAATTTCATAAATTAATAAAGCAAATATCAATAGAACTATTTCGAATAAAATTATTATAATTTTATTAAATTAAAATTTTTAATCAACTAAATAATGTATATTCAAAAGAAGAAAAAATATATATTTTTTATTATTATTTATTATATACAAATGTTTCATAAAAAAACTTTTAATAAAATAAATATTATACCCACCCAAATGTTTTAAAAGAAACAAAATTCATTAAATTAGAATTTGCTTATATTTTTGTCATTTTCAAAAGTTAAAAAAGATGAAGACTTTAAAAAAATATTTTTTTAATCTAATTTTTGCGTCCAATAATAATAACACAATAATAATAATAATAATAATAATAATAATAATATTTACATTTTATAATGTAATTTGTGAATGTTAATAAATTTTTAATTATTTTAAAAAAATATAATCTCAGATAAATAATCGCTATATATCTATAATTGATTAACTTTCAGTATTTCTCCATTATTTTTTATCTAATAAATAATAAATTTAGATAATAAAATTATATATAAGAATCGCTAATTATGCCATGCTATAAACAATTTTTATAATTTTTCTATTTAAGGTTAGAATATAAAATATAATTTAATTTAGAGTTCCTATAAAATTCTAACCTTAAATTATTAGAAAAATTGTAATTAAATCATTATCATAGAAAAATTGTTATAAAATAAGATTAATTAAATAGGTTAAGAAAAAAACTTATGAACTCAATAATTAGAATATATAATTTTTTTTTTATTCTAAAATAAAATCGATACGTTTTTCACATAATCTCATACATATGACAAAAAATAATGCTAATCATATAATTTGGCAATATAAAAATGTATTTTTAATATAATTTCTTATGCTAATCTCAATGCAATGTATAAAGCTTAATTAATAGCTAATCTGCAAATAAGTGTACAATCATTATTATTTGATTGTATTTATATTTGTATAAAACATATATATTTGTCCATAAATGATATATTTAACAATATCTTTCGTTAATATAAACAACTTTTTAACAATAGATGATATGCCTCAAGTTTCTCATAATATTTTATCTTTATGAAAGTTATATGGTTCTTTAATTTAAGTATTCATTATACAGTTTCTTTACAAAAAAAAAAAATATCTACGATATTACCAGGATCATCTTACCATTTGCTTTAAATAAACCGTGACGTCATCCTCTGCAAGCACACGCGGATAAAATGAAATGTGAATTAACATCCTTTTATTGATCATATATTGAAATGTATTGTAAATAAGTTTTATCATTAACAATTTATTGTGCTTGTTAATATTAAATAGCTATAATCAATATATGTATATGTATATTTGCCGGAATATTTTTGCAAATATCAAGCATCATGTATTATTAAATATTTCTTACTTAATTTCATACATTTAATATACAAATGTTGTAATACAGTAAATACAGTAAACAACAATTTAAAAATAGTAAATTTCTTTCTCTATATTTGTTGTTATATATTATAATATTTTAATAATATCTAAAATTAAATTAGATATTATAATAAGATATATAATATCAAAATATAATTTAAAAATGAATTAAAAAATATATATCCACTTGCACATATACAAACCTTAGATAAAGTAGATTATATTGGAATTAATAAACGTAAAATATTTTACATAATTCAATAGATTATATATAATATACGTAATGTTTATAAATATTTAAAAAATGATTAAAAAATTTAAAAACTTAAAAAAAAGCAAAAAAAATTAATCAATTTTATTATACCATAAAAAATGTAATGGCAAAAAATCGCTAAAAAGTAATATGTCAAGTTTTGAGAAGATAGAATGTCTATTTAGATTCCACGTGTCGTTGTAGCAACGGTATATTGTCAACATGAAAGATGTATGTGTATATGTTCAGATGTTGACAGGTAGTCGTATTGAGGAACCACGTTTCGCCGGGTCTGCACGAGGCGCAGCTCGTAGAAAACAGAAAGCACGATGTGTACCTTCTAGGCACTGGGCACTGGTATAACATAGCGAGGGTAACGTGATTGGACGTGGTAGGAAATCAAGTGAGGAAACAACGAAAGATAAAAAGGGATAGAAAGAGAACCTAACGAAAGAGGAATACAGATAATAGGAAGAGAAAAAGAGATGGAGTATATAGAAGAGAGGGGGAAATGATACGCGCGAGTCTGCTGTCGCCGCCACCGCGACCGCCGCCGCCACCCATAACCTCAAAACTTACCTCTGTTGACTCGGGCTTCGACGATTTGTACGTCTTCGTCGACACTCCTGTCGGTCATCTTCTTCTTCTTCTTCTCGTTAACCTGAATGTCCATGCACATAATTCCACAACACAAAACAACACTTCCGCCACACGGTCACGCTACCCCTACGTTCCCGTGACATTTACATTAAACTGTATGTGCGCGCGCGCAAAATTCACACTTACGGGGGAAAGCGAAAGGGTCGTCGCACGAGGGCGCCGCGAAATGCGCCTTGCGTTAGAAATCTATTTCGTGTCTATACTTGACAATAAAGATATACGACAATGTACACAGATAATCTTAAACAGATCGTATAGAACTGTTGTCGATTGCTCGTTTTATACGTACACGCAATTCTCTCGCGGCCCGCGTTTTCTGCTGTTTTGTGCGGAGGTGAACCGAGAGGCCGACCGGGTTCTGTCCAGATTTGAATGTGGTACACGTTGCCAGTTCTTTCTCGTACCCCCCTTCGTCCCCCTCCCACTCGTCCTTATGTACTTAACGGTTGCGACGTTGCCGCACATCCGGTACCAATAGTTAGGTAGTGGGGGAAGAGAATTTTGCAAAGGAGTGGGGGATGTACATAAGTACCTGACAACGCCATAGTGGGGACTTTAATGGGGAGGGGGTGAGCAGGGGGTATGTACATAGAGAAGGGGGCGGGGGTTGTTGCTCGGGAATGGGAATTTCCATGACGCTTCAGGGCAACAGCGACCGTTAGCTAGGTCACGTGGTTTTACCGGAAGTCGTAAGGGCGACGCGCCATGATATGTGCGCCCTCTTTTTCCGTTTCAAATTTTAGTGTTTCCGGAAAATTATTTTTTTTTTTAATGAAATTATCTTTGTTACAAAATATCACATTGTATTTTACATTTATTTTTTTATTCGGACATTTGTTATTTTTATTTGTAAATAGATTTACAACTGTTTCCTTTGAAATGTCAAGGACGAACTAGCGTGACATGAAATGTAACTATATACATCATTCATATTAGAAGCAATGTAAAGAAAACATAACAAGAATAAGAATAATATAAATAGTTTATGTAATGTTATTTTGTTGAAAACTATAAAAATTACAATTTAAGTAAAAAATTTTTGAAATAAATGTTTAAAAAAAAATGTAAATATTTTTAGAATTTTATAGAACTACATCCTTAAATGAATTTTTTGTAGTTTGGTGCAGTAAATAGATATGTAGAAAGATATATACAAATTCCAATCTAAAGTTTTTTTAATAAAACACATTTTTAACATCATGAAAAAAAAATCATATTTAATATATATAGTTATTATTTATTTATATAAATTATAGTAAAAAATATTATAGAAATAAATTTATCAAGAAAAATTTAATTAATAATACGAAAATGTTTCTCTTTCATTGTTCTTTTTTTTGTTTGATTGGTTAGAAGCTTAATAGAAGATTAGACTTAATAATTATTTCATGGAATATCTTTTTAGTTTTTTCAATATCTTTTTAAAAAAAGATTTTAATAAATATAAATACATTGTAATTGTATATAGATAATATTGCTAAAGAATACTATTTATATTAAAAATTAGATATAAAATTGTTATTTTTTCATTTATAAATAAATGACAACATTATACATATATTAAATTGCCTGAATATATTATATAACATAGCATTTGTATTTATTTCACAAAAATTTAAGGGTTATTAATATAAATAACTAATATTCTATATTAAAATTTGAATTACTGAATTATGCATTGCTCTGTTGCATCAGAACCACGTTGCGCGGACTCTTCAATATCTTTAGTAACTAAAAGTCCTTTGGTACTTTCGGCTTCTTTCATCCAAAATTGTACCTATCAATTAGTATAACATTATAAAATACATATGAATATGTTTTATATATATATTTGCAAATATAATAAAATGTAATAAAAGTACAAATAAATGTTACAAATATTCATAAAGTTTAATTACGATATTACATCGAATTATTTGTTTCGCAATATTAATATCAGTCAGTTATTATGAAAAATATTATTTTAAAAGATTTAATATAATTTAATGTACTAAAATAAAAATGAGTATTTAAATAAAAGTATAAAATATTTGCAAAAAAAATTTCTTTATACAAAAAAAATTATACAAATTATTTAATAATAATATTTATTAAGAAAAAAAATAAATTAGATATATATTTAAATAAATACTGTAATTAAAGTTATTATCTTTATATATCATGAAACATCAAATCTATCTAATAATTATTTGTCATTTAATAAAAAGAAATATACGATCATTAATTATCATCAATTCGAAACATACATAAAATATATATAAAAATTTGTTTCAATAAAAATGATATACAGTTCTGTCAATCATAATAATCATTAAATAATAAAAAAGTACATAAGATTGATTTGTATAATGATTAAACGAATAAAAATAATCAAAATAAATTAATGAAAAAAATTTTTTTTTAAAATAAATATATTTAAATAATTATCATGCAAATTAGTAATAAAATGAATAATTCTATGAGTTTATTTTTCAAAATGTAAATATTATAATATATATATTAATATATTATATAATATATATAATATATATAATATATATATATATATATATATATTATATATTATATGTAAATATAAAAAATTATTAAATTATAAATATAAATAAACATATAAAATAATCGATTATTATTAAAAAAATTTCAATAGAATTTCGAATATAATATACATAATTTCATATATTTATATTTCAATTTATTATTTTAATTTGTTATTTTTTTCATTATTTCATATATTATAAATCTTTGATCAATTGACTTATCAATATTATTAAAAATATTTAGTGATTTAATTCAGAAATGAACTATAATCAAATTATTACTCTAAAATAAGATAATGGAAAAAAAAATAAGTAAGATATTAAATAATTATTTAAATAACGATATTAAATAGTTAAGAACTGAAAATAAAAAATTATTAGTTAAATAATAAATTTATTTTTATATTAAATAGTTCGACATTGAATTGCCATATTTAAAACACTAAAAACATATTATTATACTATTCTTAATATGATCTATATTAAGTAAGCTATAAAAATAGTTGATTGTTTTATTATTTTGTTGTTTTTTCTTAAATCAAAATATATTATATAAAATATATTTGATAAAAAAAATATATTTAAATATATTTTATATATTTACGTAAAAAAAATGAAAAGTTAAAAAATGTAAATAATAAATATTTTTACAAATCTATATATTAATTTAATGCATAAAGATAAATTTTTCTAACACTTAACTTGAAAATCGATTTAAAAAATGAATATTAATTAATTACCTGTTTATGTAATAGATCTCTCCTCCGACCTGCTGGTTCTTTTCCTAACAGGGGTACCAATATCTGTAGACACGATTGAAATTTTTCTAATGCAAGTGCATAATTTCCTTCTGCAAGATATAATTCAGCAATTTCTCCTATTTCAAATGCATCCATCATACCAACTGTACTTTTGCTAAGCATTCCTATTGATAAATAAATATAATAATAATTCATTAACAAAAATTTTTTTAAGCTTAAAATCACAATTAAATATGTTTATCTATTATAAGAAATAATCATAAAATAATATTTCACATTACTTATATGTTTATATGAATTAACAGAAGAGTTAGAACAATTTCACAATTTGTTCTTGACGCATAAGTAGTATCAAGTAGTAGTATCTAGTAGTAGTAAGACACGGATTCTATTCTATTTATCTTCTTCTTTGATTATATTTATTTTTATTTTATTGAAATTCTTCCTAATTAGAATTCTATAATGACATATAATTACATTATATTTTTAATGAATTTTATATTTTCTAATATTTATATAAGAATTTTTTAATTATGATTAATTATAATATAATTACAATTTTTATCTATTCTTATATTTTATTCTGAATATAATTTATGTTAAATAATTTAATTAATTTTTTAATTAATATAATAATTTTTTTTAAAAAGAATATTATTTTATGAATTCTCCTATACAAATTAAAGAATCAAAAAATATTATAATACTATAATAATGAAATAATACTTTATTAAAATAATTGCAGTATTATAAAAATTTTAATACAAACGCAGCTCATGATATGCGGATGATGATCTTTCATTTAAAGATGATATTTTTTGAATAGACGAAGAGCTTCCTTTATGATGCACATATTTACATTTATCTTTATCATCAATATTATCTATACACGACGTTTTCAATATTTCTGCTCTTTTAATGTAATCATTTATACGTAATCTTAAGCTTTCTTTTCGTTTTAAATCAGTCTCATCTAATAATACACGATTAAAAGATAAATAATTATAAATAAATTATATCACATTTATTTATAACATTTTATTTATATTATTTATAATACTTCTTACTTGTAACAATAGGTATAAAATATCTAAGAGCTTCACAGTATAAATGAAATGCTTCTTTTAAATTTTTCTCTGCATCCATTTTCACAGCATTCTGAACTAACTCTATCGCCTTATCATAATTTTCCTTTGTTGGCGCGTGAGCCAAATCCAGAAAATCATGACCGAAAAATTCATCGAACGTTATTCTCTTGTCAGGATCATGCTTCAATAAGGACATCAATAAATCCTTGCATTCATATGACACGTGCGAACCTTTCGGTAACTATGGTTTCATGATATCAAATCACAATTAAGAGAAAGAAATAAATAATTTTCAAGTACAAAGAAACTTTGAATAGTAATTGAATAAAAAGAATACAAAAAAAAAATTTATAAAAAGAATTAAGAAATCAAAAATAAAATTAGATAATTTTAAAAAAATTTATTAATATATTTATTAATAAAAGTACTATTGTGACATAAAAAATAATTTTTTTAAAGAAACTGTTTTTTTTTAATTTTCCTTTTCACTCTTAATTATTATAATATGTATTATAAATAATTTTTTATAATACTTTTTTAAAAATTATTAATTTTTTAAATTATTGCAAAATATACCAATTAGTAAATCAATGAAATGAAATATATCTAATATTTTCCTTAATTAATTCATCTTTTACATATATATATAATATATATACAAATTATAATAAAAATTTTTAACTTTATATTTGCTATATCTTCATGTTATATCTTTAAAATTGGTATTTCGATAGATATATAGATATATTATCATCTTGCATTTGAACAAAAGATAACGTAATTAAGATAACGTAATTATAAATAATTATATAACTACAA